GTGAGTGACACACGTCTGTGAGAGAATGTTTGTCACAAATATTGGTATATCAAACCAAGTTATCCTACGTTAACGTTCTGATAAAACAGGTGATGTAAATAAAATGTTAAAGGGAGAACTATCGGGTAACGGGCATATTCATGTTTTTCTCGCCAGTTTTTTATTTTTTAGAATCTGTGAAAGAAACAGAATGACATGTTTCTACTTAATCCTTTCTTTTTCTGAATCCATTAATATTAACTTGCGCGTCTTTTGTTATATATGTGATGAAGTACGTAAAACACACTTCGACTATTATTGTCTTATTAACGTTTCATTTCAGATTATATTTGGTTTTGATCACATCTAAGCAGGATCAGTTGAAACAAGCACAACCCTTAAAACCATTTATTCCATCAGAAACTGGAAGTAAGTAGTAAATATTTTTTTTACATTATTATTCGTTTGTTAAGAGTTGCAGTGAAAAAGTGAAATAGAGATTTTAGATAAAGACTTCAAAATAGTTTCGCGATCATTTTAGTACATGGACATGTTTTGGATTTAAATGTGACTACAACGCTATTAAATCCTAAAGATCTAGTTAAAAAAAATATAAATTAGATAAATCTCATTTGGCATTTACACTATGCACAAAACGAAACGATAATACCTATATTCCACATCTCGAAACAACAGTTATTTCAGACACAATGACCAAAGGTGAGTGTCGATAATTCTAATAACATAGTTCTTTCAATTGCTTTCTGTTCTATTTAGAATCGCCATTACGGCCAACACATTTTACCGGTATGAATGACATTATATTGGGTACAGTTGGCAGAATTCATCGGGTGAGTCAATTTTAGGAAAAAAGAATAAAATTGAGCTTTTGCGTTTTGAATTAGACAACCAACGAAGATCTAATTCCGTGTGAATTTTTGTGCAAGATTAGCGATTTAGATGCACATGAAGTAAAGATATGTCTATCTACTGTCCAATATAACATAAATTAGTATTTATTATTCAGATAACGTGTCGGCAGAATTTAATGCCTGCCGTCCAAGTTCATTCAGATGGTAAAAGACACGATTGTTTACTATATACAATTCACTTTCTATCAATTTCTTATCTAGCAGATGAAACTTTTCCGACTCAAGTGAACAATTTTTTCCCGGCATCACACTCATCATCAGCCGACATAACAGCAGCAATGGTAGGCGCTATTAACACTCTTTGATACGACGTAACTATCTCCTCGATTTCTAACAACTATCACTGATTATTTCAAACAACTTGAGCAATAATTCCTGAAATCGTCCATAGATCTTTGTACCAGATATTACTAAAGCGATTTGCTCAGGGAACGAGAGCCACTATGAGTCTCCAATATTTTCCCAAATATAAGCTATGAGTGTGCCCAGTTTGACATTGATTGACTGCGAAACTATAGACAACAATTCTGATATATATTTCTCCAAAACTGTAGGGTATCAGTGCTAGGCAGAAAAACTTGTGACATTTTTTAAAAAAGGTCCTTGAAGTTTTCCTTCGCGCAGTTAAAATTCGTCAGCTATGTACGAATATAACACTCAAAAGTCATAGAGAAGCTTCACAAGCAGTATTCATCTCGGCATAAGCAGACATTTGCCCGCTTCTTACGACGAAGAGTGTTCTTGTCCTTGAATAGTAAAACATCATTTTTCCTTATCATTTTGAGATAGGGCTTATTCTAAAATCAACAAACGGCAGTATTACCCTCATAACTTCTTTGCTTAAATTTCATTCGATAGTTACTCGTCTAAGCGAGCACCAGGTGGTGATGTGAAATTCTGTTCAAATCAATGTAGAACACACGAAACTGCATACGGACAGCGAATGACTAATGAACGCTTTAAGAACATCTTATGAAGTTGTAAGCGTAGTTATCAGGCTGAATTTACTGTGTATGATATTGTTTTTTCGCTCAAGTTTAAAATAATTTTGCGATTTCTAAATACGAAGCTCGTAAGAATGCATTAGATTTCTTGTGCAAAGAAATACGAAAGACTGTCTTCAGAGTCATTTGCAATAACATACGAACTTTTGTTCATACTTGCCCTCGAAATCAGAAGCAATCGTTTTGTATATTATTTTGTGGATCTTGTCTAACTACTCACACGCATATATCTTGCTTTTGCTTGGGAAGTATTGGAGTAAAAAATGCGCTATTTCCGAGTAATCTTCTCGCTGATCCAAAACCAAAGAAACTTCTTTTGCAAAAATATTTTCCATCGACTGATTGTTAGCACGCTAGACGTCGTTTTCTTGGTATTTCAATCGTAAAAACAATTCGTCGGTGAAAAATATGAAATAGTGAGAAAAACTACGAAAAAAATGAGTAAAAATGTGAAAGGGTTCTATAAAATTTAGCAGCGCGAATCGTTCTCTATGTGAAAAGAAATTAGTAATATTTTTATTGTCTTTGTCGGCTCCGGACGCGTATGTATACTCTTGCCGAGCTGCTTTTTGAAAATCACGTGTTGAGCGTGGTCGTCCTAACGTTATTGGTGGTAATTTATCTGTTGCGTTATATCCAACTTCGTATAACTTTATTTTATATATTCTTCCGATTCCGACGCATCAAACTGTTGACGATGATGGTAATAGGACGACTAATCTGGGCGATCAGTTAAAAGAGCTGAAATATCGTATCCATTGTTCAGTTTGTTTGGATCGGGAACGAAATATCGCTTTTCAATGTGGTCATACATGTTGTTCTGAGTGTTCACAACAACTGAGATGATGTCACATCTGTCGGCAAAAAATAACCACTAAAATGAACATTTACTTGTAATTGGTTCGAGCATAGCTGCGCTACATGGTTTTGGTTCCATGGCTGGAAGAGACGATGTCTAAACGTAGTTAATCTATCAAGAGTTTTTTTTTGTCAGACTTCTTCGAATAAGTATTGTGTTAAATTTTTATGTAATTTTAAAGAAATCGACAATCTGTTTGACTAGAGAAACATTCCGTCTCATACAATCTTTAACCTTCTTTTACTACTTTTATTAACTTTCTTTTTGACAATGGTAGTGTTTTTACTTGTTACGCAGAAGTGGTAAGACGAAGGACAGATTGTATACAAAACAAAAAATAAAGAGATTATATTCTATCATGAACGACGTTTGAATATTCTGGTGTGATTTTGTTGTTTAGCATTCAAACATAATGATATAAGGGTGACATTACAGAAGTGAATAACAATACCACCTGCCCAACTTACTAGAATTTTGATGAATATTATGTTTTGTCTAGCTGAAGTTGAACTTTTCCAAAATTGGGCGCATCCATTTTCAATTCATTATTTCAATTCATTATTTCAATTCATTATTTCAATCCATTATTTCAATCCATTATTTTTATTTTGAGCTAAAAAAATAGGTTTTTTCATGCTTGTGGAAAATAGGGTATTCTTGTTTCGCCAGTAATTAAATTATTCTTGTTTCGTCGACACTAATTTCTTGCTCGTTTCGTCGACACTTTTTTATCTTGATTCGTCGACAAAATGTTTTTAATCAATTAAACTTGATTCTTGTTTCGTCGACACTTTTTTTTATCCGTTGTAAAACATGGAATTATAGTTGCAATTATTAAAATGTATACTACAATTTTAAATTTGAAAACAGTTGATAAAATTCAATAGAAAAGATCAACTGAGCAACGGATTTCTTTATCAAAACTAA